ATGGGTTTAGGGTCTATAGGGTCTAGGTTTTGGGGTTTAGAGTGTGGCGTAAGGGACACCCAACCACCTGAAGTCAGAAACCAGCACTGAACATGGGAGGGAGCGGAGTGAGCAGAGCTTTCCTGGCATCCTTTCCGTCACCGCAGCCCACGGTAAAGATGTGAGATGTCCTCCGCACAGTCCTCCATCTTTCGCCTGTTCCACGAGGAGCGTACACAGTTGGCAACGCGGGTTGCGTGTTCCATCTCCTCCTTATAGAGCCAGCCTGGAGCATTGCTGGAGGCGGTTCCGAAGCACTGGGTCCATCGACTTTTCTCGCGAAGTGTGCAGGTCAGGTAAGCCACGTTCGGGAAACGTTCGTACTCCACCTCCAGGAACTGGAGTCGCGCCTTCAAGAAGTTCTCTGTATTCGGCCCCGGAAAACCATTCACCTTCATGGCGCCAAGAGTGTCCAGCATCACGTCCCTGGCGCGGCCGGAGGTTAAAATCTTCCAGGAGCTCAAATAGCCTTCGGCATGCCGACGAGGTATCACAGCATGACGATCGTTGATTCCACCCTCCCAGTCACTGCCTGATGGAATCCAGACCACATCCGCCTTCAACAGCTCCAGCGGTGGGTGAGGCGCCAACCACCGAAAGTCAAAGCGTGAAACGACTACCCATTGATAGGGCTGTCCTCTCTGATGCTCCTGCTTCTGGATCATCTCCAAACACTTCTGCTGACTGTAATACCAGCAGATAGCACTTCCAGGCCGTTTATCATGCAAAGGCGGGTCCAGGCACTCGCTTCCAAACCAATTGCCCTGCACCTGCACGTACTCAACATCGATCGTTCGACTCGGATTCCGCGTCTCGGCATACAGGCGGTCACGGATGCTCTCCACCTCCCACTTCTCCTCCACCACGTAATCCTCGAGACTGTGCAATTTTGGAGCCGGCTCGGCATCAGATCCGCGCGGTCCATACAAAAAAACGTCAGGTTTCAGAACCTGCAAGACGTGCTGCTCCAAGGCAACGTGGGTGTGGGACAACATGCGGACCTGTCCCATCAAGCACAGGGCTACCCCCAGGCCAGTCAGGTCATGTGCCGTGAAGGACACTGCTGTGGAGTCCTCCAGGGACGAATCCACCTTGCGCCATGCCACCCACGCCGCATCCACACAGTCGAAGTGCGTCTTGAAGTGCACCCAGACAGGGCTTTCAGACAGGCCATCCAGATCCTCTCCCTCGAAGGTGAAGGCTGCGCATGCCTCCTGAGCCTCGCAGTGATCCTTGGCCTCTGCCGCAGTGAGGAACAAGGCCTCTCCGAGGTCGTTCCCTGCTGGGATCGCGCAACGCCCGAAGCTCCGCCAGCTCGGAGCCGCTGACAGGCGACATGCCTCGGGGTCGGAGACATCGCAGACAGCCAACAGCAGCCAACAGAGACTTTAGAGAGCCGCACAGAGACTTAGACCCTTCCCCCTCTCCTCGCCGCCAGGTCCTGCAGGGCAGCTCAGCTCAGCCAGTCCCACACCAGCCACCAGGGCTCCACGCCACATTGGCTCACAGCTCGCATCCAGAGTCTAGGGCATGGGCAGGGGTCTTGCATGAAATCTCGTGTTTTGAGCCGCTGCCTGAGCTCCCTCTTTCAAAAGAGCCGGAGACGCCCGGGCTGAGGTGAGCTGAGGTGCAGGCAGAGCACCGGAGTCCAAGGATGCAGCAAAGTGTCGCAAGGCCTCAGACGAAAGCTGTCTTAGAAAACCCCACAAAAACTCTGAGAGTCTGCCTTCAAGTGGAATGCGTCGGTTCGTACGAAAGTGTAGGGTGGCGCCTTGGGATCTTGCGACCTGCCATGAACAGAGGGGAAGGATTGCAATCATCGAGCGCATGCTCGAAGCCAGGAGTGCTCGAGGGGACGCTTCTCCCACCAGCTTTTGCTGGGTGCGTGGTAGTACCTCGACCGCAAACCGGTCCCTTTCTTTTCAGGTACAACCTACTGTCAGGTCACTTCTGCTCGTTCATGTTGTAGATCCAATCGGGGGCAACCTTGTTTGCAAGCCACCTGAGCGCCAGGGGCTGGATGCTGACTTTCACGACTTTCATGTCTGATACCGAGGTCATCAGTACAAGTATCAGATGGAACTTTGCCTAGTCGTCTTCTTGCCCTGGCTTGAGTGCTAGGACACGGAACTGCGTGGCTCCCCCAAAACACCCTGTTGCTCAAGCGCAAGCCTCAAGCCAATCAGGCTTCAGCTGAGCATCCTGCGCTGCCTTGCCATCGGCAGACTTCCCTTGCCTCTGCCAGCCTCCACAACGGACAGTCGGAGGAATCGCAGATTCCCTGTGGGGCTCGTTGCTGGAATCCTAGACTACCCTTCACATCCTGCACATCGATCAAAACCGCATCTGGAGTTGCAACACCTGCCTTTCTCCGGTGGAGGGAGTACTCCCAACATTTCGATACCTCCGTGCCAACTGGCAACGATAATCATGATGGCATGAATCATAGCAGTAAGAAACACCACCATCTGTAACCACGAGTAACTAGTAACTAGTAACGACAACCACAAGAAGAAGATTGATAGCAGCCCCACGCTCATATCTCCGCGCCATGACTTTACAGTCCAGGCCCTCCAGCAATTGCAAAGGCTTCAGTGTTAAGCATATCGGTATCGCACCAGGCTTTGACACGACACAACAGGGTCTGCATCCACTCCTGCACCCGCCATCCAAATAGCTATATGTTCATCCACTAGTTCACTTCCCTTCGGGTGTGACTGGCAGCTGGGAGAGAGACTGACGTGAGTGCTCATCCCCCGCGAGTGGAACGGGGTGCAGGGTGTACCTGCACCCTGCTGTCATGGCATACTGGGCACTACAAAGAACACACCAAGCACTGGAAGTCCATGGCTGTGTCGCACAAGCAGCACCACGACACCACCAACACGAAACGGCAATCAAGAGTAGCTGAAAGATGTTTTCTACCCTCTCATGCACCACAGCACAAGAGCAGTGAGCCGAGTTGGCGCACAGCCGAAGGACTCGGCAGAGATGATGCCGGCGGGCAGCTTGGGAACGGGCACCTGAGGAGCTATGGAGTGCCGGGACTCTCTGTGGAGCTCGGCTCCAGGGTCTTGCACTGGAAGCCTCTTATCTCTAGAGCCCTCGCCCGCCTCCATGTCGGCCTGCGACAAGTCTGTCATCCAGCCGTCTGTGTCCTCTCAAGCGCACCGGCTCAGGAAACAAAGCACATGCTCCGAGCTTCAATGACCCTGGCCTTCATCTGCACCAGTAGCCTTGCACGCAGCTTCAGCATCCCTGCCCTGGAGACTCTAGCGGACCAAACCGAAGAGGCAGCTGCGGCCTTGTCACTAGGGGTCCTAGAGAAGTGGCGAAACCTGCCGAACATCAGCGATGCTCAGGAAGTGCAAGTCTTCTGCGCACGACGAGGTGCACCTCTCGCGGGCGCCAGGCGCCCAGCGAAAGTCTACATGCATCGCCTCACGGCACGGAAGAGACTGCCAGAGGGACGGCACACCGGCCCTCTTTCTTCAGATAAGCCTTCGGAACATGCCTCCGGCTATCTCCGGCTCTGCCTCATGGTCCGCCACATGTGAGATGCTGGGCAGCAACGGAAATCGAGGCTGCAACCCAAGGACGTCCCGGGAACACCAGACCCGTAGTGCTCCCGCAGTCCGAGGCTTACACGGCAGAACAATACGGTGTTGTGTTTTTGGATCTGTTTGGGATGCTACCTCACTGCTCAGAGATGCAGCATCTCACAACTCTCGGCTTTCCCTTTTGGACGACTGTCTCATACGCTCCGGTCTTTTTCTAGACTCTAATCTACTAGCCGCTCGAGGGGACAGGGGGCATCGACCGCCTGCAGTCCCTGCTGGATCCTGCTAGAATCAGCAGCGAGCACCGTAACATGAACTCTTGTACAGCACTCGGCATTATCACAATTTATGACTGACTGACAAACGGCTGCCTGCTGCTACTTCCGAACCGTCGGCTCGTGTCGGCTGTCAGTCGTCATCCTTCTTCTTGTCATCGTGATTTGGGCGCTGTCCTACACGTCCATCTTTTGCCTGTGCATCACAGGGTCTTGAGCACTCGGCTTCACCGGCCGAATGCAACTATGTTGTGCAAAAATCTGCATCTGCAAATCTGCGACGGGTGGTACAGGACATGCCATTGTCGAGAACGAGGGCAGGAGCTGTGTGACTGCATGCACACGTTGCCTCCCACCGTCGTTCGCGGTCATAGATCTCGATACCTGTGCATGGCCGACACACGATGCTTCCGAGTAGGTCTGATGTGCCGCGGCCAACATCAAGAACCGGCTCTACTTCCTTTCAGCCGTCGGCGCTCTGCGCGCCTCGGTCGCGCAGATCATCGCGGATCCTATCCGCTTCTGAGAAGTTGCGGTCCTCAGCTCCACAGCTGTCAAAGACAATGAAAACAATGCTGTCTCGCCGGACTCCGGTGGCCACGTCGAGAGGCCAGCATGCACATGCTCTCTCAGTCCCACACGATGCGAGCTTTCTCGCGATCAATCAGCATGTTCCAGACGTAGGCCTCAAGCACTGCGCCCAATTGAAGGGGTTGGATGCGAAGATGCTGTGCTTTGCCCAGCACAAAGACCTAAGGACAGTACATTCGATGGCTCCCCATCACGGCTAGGAGTTCGCCTGGGAGAAGGAACCACGTCTCAGCTTCCTACCATCACTGGTCTCGCCCTTGACGCCTGCCACCTCTGAGTCTCCGTGGCACAGTGTCGGGAAACATCCACAGCGCAAGCATCGCACATGCGGCACATCAGCAGCTGCCACACGCGCAGACAGCACAGTGCCTGCTTCTATGCCACAGGCGAGCTAGCACGAGTCTTCTAGGTCTCTACCTGGGGGGAGCTATTGGGCCATGTCTGAGAATTAAGTGGCGAGCTCACCACGACAAACCCACACGAGGAAAGCATAATCGGCCACCCTGCCAAGGCCCTAACAAACAGTATCCGTTCAGGATACTGTTTAAGACTTTATTATGGAAGTTCATTCCAGACGGC